GATGCATTCCATGTTGGGATTGGAGCTGTCCTTAGCCAAGAAGGTTGTCCAGTTGCTTTCTTTAGTGAGAAACTCAATGATGCTAGAAGGAGGTATTCCACTTATGATGTTGAGTTTTATGCCATTGTGCAAGTGTTGAAGTTTTGGAGGCATTATCTTATCCAATGGGAATTTGTGTTGTATTCGGAACATGAAGCATTGAAACACCTTAACTCCCAATAGAAGATAAAAGAGAAGACATGCTAAATGGGTTGACTTTCTACAATAATATAATTTTGTTTTGAAGCATAAGGTTGGACAGCAAAACTGGGTAGTTGATGCTCTTAGTAGGAGAGTTCACTCGGTGTCAACAATGTCTACTAATGTTGTGGGATTCAACTCCATCAAAGACCAATACCAAGATGACCCTTATTTTGGCCCTATTTGTTGAAGCTATACAGAAGGTGGCAATGATATTCAAGCCAAGTTTGTGTGGAATGATGGTTACTTATTCATGGGCAATAGGTTATGTACTCCATCAAGATCCTTGAAGGCATTACTCATTGCTGATTTACATTGCAAGGGACATTTTGGTCGCAAGAAGACACTTCAAATGGTCTCCAAAAGGTACTTTTGGCCAAGGCTACAAAAGGATGTGTTCTATTATGTTGATAGACGTCACAAGTGCCAAACATCCAAGGGGCAACATCAAAATACAGGTTTGTATCTTTCCTTACCCATACCAAAAGCACCATGGTCTGATATTACTATGGATTTTGTGTTGGGGTTGCCAAGAACAGCTAGGGGTAATGACTCTATTTTTGTTGTGGTTGATTGTTTCTCTAAAATGACCCACTTTATTGATGCCAAAATACTTTTAATGCTTCTCACGTAGCTAACTTGTTTTTCAAAGAAGTTCGGTTGTATGGATTGCCAAGATTTATCACATCAGATCATGACACAAGATTCCTTAGCCACTTTTGGAGAACTTTATGGAAGTGTATGGGTACTACCCTACAATATAGTAGTACATTTCACCCACAAACAGATAGACAAACTGAAGTGGTTAACCGAATCTTAGGCAACTTTTTGAAGAGCCTAGTTGGAGACTATTTAAAGCAATGGGATCTTATTCTACCACAAGCTAAAATTGCCTTCAATGATTCAGTTAATAGATCTACAGGGAAGACTCCTTTTGAGGTTGTGTATGTTCGGTTACCTAAAAGTGTTGTTGATCTAGCTCATATAACAGGGTTGTAGTGAATGAGTGGTGATGTCGAAGCTTTATTTGAATCCATTCGAGAGATTCAAGAGAATGTACGACAGAATCTGAAAGAAAGCAACCAAAGGTATAAAGAAGCTAAGGATAAGCATTGTCAGATGAAAGAGTTTCATGAGGGCGACCTAGTCATGGTTTATTTGCAGCCTCAGAGGTTTCCCAATGGGACCTACCATAAGTTGAAGCAGAAAAAGATTGGTCTATGTCAAGTGTTGAGACGGTTTGGTGACAATGCATATGAAATTGAGCTACCACCTGATTTGTCCGTTTCACCCATTTTTAATGTAGCAAACCTTTTTGATTACCATCGGGATCTATAACCAGCAACAAAGGATGGGCGAGGACTAGAACAAAGGGCCAGTAGTTCTAATGAGTTTGAACAAGTAAAGGGTGTAAAAGATGTTTGAGTTACCAACACTCTTGGGTTAGTGAAGAGGAGTTTATGAAGCTAGATGGAAACATGTGCAAGGCTGCTAAAATTGTTGCTCACACGGGGTTGAGCTCCTTTTAACCCAACGGGAATGATGAAGCAAAAAAAAAAGAAAAAAAATTTGAAAAAAATGTGTGAATGTATTCTGTTTTGCATGTTTTTTGTAGTGGGATCCCAAATTGTTGTCTTTGGGTAGCTTTGTTAACAGTTTGGGACCAGGGGTATTTTTGTCATTTTATAAGTCAAATTTTTTGCCAGGGGCAGTTGGGTGCATTTCTGTTGGGTTTTGGTCTCTTGGGGCTTTTGTAACAAAAGTTATCTTTTAGGTGTTCATTTGAAGTTAGTTTTGTTCCTAAGGAGTTGTTGGTGAGAGGGAAACATTCTAGAGGCTTATGTGTAAATATTTTAATTAGCTTGCCCAGCAAGCCAGTGAGTCTTATAAAAGAGAAGGGGGTTATTTCTGTAGGGTTTTTTTTGTTCTTCCTCTCTTGTTCTGAGGAGTCGACCCATTTTGGCACCTTCCAATCCCTCCATTGCTGCGTGTCCGCATGGGAGGCCAGCTTGCAGCCATTGTTACTGTAGTGGAACTATTCCATAAGAGTTTTACTTTAGGTTCAGGTCTGAAATCCCTGAAAATCCAACTTATTTTTCTGTTTTCAGCTTAGTAATTGTTGTGCTTATTGTTGTATACTTGCGGTATTACATGTAATTTTTCTTTCTCCCACATCAGTATAAATACATATAAAATAACAATGTTTTTTAACCATCGTTGACTCGGATGGTCAGACTGTTTGGCCTGGAAACTGTCCAAGCAACCAGTTCTGTTTCACCCCAAACCTATTCTTAGGTCAAAAACCGTTGACTTCATTAGAAAACCACTAACCCGAGCAGTTGAACCATCGACTCGTTTGACCCAAACAGTAGTTCACAGTTTAAGAAATTTGTAGAGGAGAAACTGATGGTCTGAGGCATGAACTCAGATCTGAAATCCAGCACAAAGAGAGAGAGAGAGAGAATAAGAAGAAGAAGAAGAAGAAAAAGTAGAAGAGTACAGATCTAAATGTTGTAGAGAAATTGATCTTAGATCTGCATCCATCGCCGTCACTGTCGACATTATCGGCACCGGTGAGCATCGAATCATCCTCCTCCTATTCCTTCTTCTTCCCTCCTTCCCTCCTCCCCCTTTTTCTTCCCTCTTTCCCTCCTTCCTTTGTTCTTTTCCTTTCTCTCCTTTTCTTTTTTTCCTTTCCCCTTCCTTTCTTTCTTTCCTTTTTTTCTTTATTTTTTCTTTCTCAACTGGTAGCCCCTTCTCCAATTCTCCACTACTCCTTTCTCATTTATATTTGCCCTAATGCAAACTATCTGAACCGTTTGACCCGGACAGTTGAACCGTTGACCCGAAAACCGTTAGCTAGAACAATTCCATTTCCGGGTCAGTTTTTAAAAGCTTGCAAAATAATACAAAATGTATGGTTTTGCACTCTACATATTTGTATTTGTACTCCTTCCAAACTGAGCCTAAAGAAAAAATCTAATCAAATTACCCATTAACATGAGATTCGCTATTTGCCAAATTCTTAGTTCTATCTGAAATAGAGATTTACATTATTATCAAGATGAAAAATCCTCGCCCCCCCCCCAATCTCATCATTCTACCTAACACATGGATTAATTTCAGAAGATAAAGAAAACCTTTGAAAGAACTTCAATACTTCATTGACTACAGCATTGGCGAATGAAGATTAGATGTGAATACCTACCTATACATGTAGGAAGTGGATTATGGACCTTATGGTTTGGGTTAATGCGACAACTCAGTACCTAAACTTTCAAAACATGTCAATCCAGTACCTACCATTAATCGGCCTATGACCCCAACTTCCTTGAATAAAAGAGGCAAGGATTTGGGACTGTTAATTTTTTGTCAATGTTTAGATGGTTGATAAAGAGAATTAAATGATACTCGAAGGGCATTTGTGTCTTTAAAAATATCACTTAATGGCTAGTTAACGACAGGTATTAGATTGACACATTTTGAAAGTTTGGATGTTGAGTTGTCGCATTTTAAATTTCCGAGATCAAAGTGGCACAAGGCCCAAAGTGCAAGGTACTAATTGAGAATTTTCCCATATTATTATGAAGTGTTACAACCCATCCCCCAACCCAAGTGCAAGCGGGATTCTATCCCAAGTCTCCCCTAGAACCAGCAGGAGACCTTACCAACCAACTGATTGGCATCTTGCATCTGAATTATTTATTTAAATCCAAGTATAATATCTCCAAGATGCACACTTATGGATGCTATTAGATGCAAGGTGCACGGGTTAATCAAGTTAGTATTTGAAAACAGTTCCTTGAACACCATTAATTGAGACATGTATGGAGAAATTTATGATGGCAATTTAGTGATAGAGGCTATGCAAAGCAAATGTAACAGAGCCGGTTTAGGTGCGACTAGAAAAAGGCCCTCTACTTGATGATAAGTTAAACCGTGAAACAATATTAGCTTGTCTTTGATTGCTTTTGTCATTGCTGGGTGAATGTAAAATGAAGTAAACAAGGTTGCTTGGTAAGAAGGACCTTCAATTCAATTTATAGGGTTCTATTCAATTGAATGATTTGATGTCCTTATTAGCTTCAAGGGTTCTAGAAGTGTGTATATCAGAAATAGATCCAAAATAAGTTAAATCATAACCTTCTGATGGTGTTTTACTATTTTTTTTTTCTTTTTTGAGCTTTTCTTCAAGCAGTACCACTTAGAGAGCGAAATGTCTCTTTACGAGCAGGAAATGTCATGTGTAAGGCACTTGGGCGATTTGGGAATTTTAGCCATAAAAATATGTTTAAGAAAGCTGAGTGGGCATTAGGGATAGTTTGATCATTAAAATTGCATTAATGCTGATGTGAATAACTTCTCTTAATGGTCACTAATGATGATCTAAGGGAAGATGAGTTTTGTACAATAAAAATTCATGGAATATGATGTACAATCTTCCTAAAATTATTGGTATTTACAATCTCCCTATCTCAGTAAAAGAAATGGAATAGTGCTCCTTACGTAATACTCCTCACACTGACCTCACAGCCACATTTCACCGTGCATTGGGAACATCTCCCACCCAATCCAATGAAAGATGTTTACAATGTGCCGCTGGCCGCTGGGACACACAGTGAGGAGTGATTTGTGAGGAGCGCAGATTCGGACTCGAAGAGATGACCCTGACACCCTTGCTTCTCGTTTTAACGTTTCAACGAAGGGTAAAAGTGTCTTTCTATTCAAATCAAGTCTTTTTCTCTTTTGCCCTACCCTAAGTCCCTAACCCATCCCCCAACTTCGTCTTCCATCTCTCGCGTCTCGTGTCTCGCCCCGTCCTTTCTTTTCCCAATTGACCTAATCTCATACTGGTTGCCTGCAAAACGGACCTCAATGAGCGATTCAATGAAAGGATCTTTAGTCTCAAACCTGAGCTACTCATCTTCGAACTGATCTCGCAATGCTACTTCTCAATGGGATGTCCTTAAACTGCCATCGCCATTGCCTGCTGCCAAGAATGTTTGGATACACCACGACCACGCACGCAATGGAATTCCCGCCTCCAAAATCCATGAAATTTTTTTTTGAAGATCCCTGGTTCAGCAATTTGTAAGTTTTCAACTTTGCTTGTCTAGCAACACAGAATCCTAACACTATGTCATCAGCACATCTTCGAAATCTGGGAAGACGGAGTTGGAGCCCGCTTCCAATACCCCATCGCACAATTCCCGACCCCAAAGGCCAAGATCTCGACTTTGTCAACGTTGCTCACAGCCACCTTGTACAGTCCGATTGGGCTAAGTTAAATACTTTGGCCACCGGTCTGACCCCATTTAGAATCAAACACACTCTTTTGAGGATCCAAAAGGATTCTGTGCTTTCGCTTGAATTCTTCAATTGGGTTGAACTCCAACGATCCAACTCCCACACGCTTGAAACCAATTCCATAATTCTTCATATTCTCACCAAGGCAAATAAGTTCAAATCTGCTGAATCTCTTTTGAGAAATAGTATAGTCCCCAAAACACTTTATTGCCCATCCAAGTTATTTGATGCTATACTTTATTCATATCGCCTTTGTGATTCATCTCCCCGTGTTTTTGATTCCCTCTTCAAGACTTATGCCCATATGAAAAAGTTCAGGATTGCCACCGATACTTTCTGTCAAATGAGAGATTATGGGTTCCTTCCAACCATTGAATCTTGCAATGCATATATGAGCTCATTGATTGATCTAAACCGGACAGACATTGCCTTGGCATTCTACAAGGAAATGAGGCGGTGCTTGATCTCTCCAAATGTGTATACCCTCAATATGGTTATATGTGCTCTTTGTAAATCAGGAAAAATAGAGAAAGCTGTTGAGGTGTTTAAGGAGATGGAGAACATGGGTTGTAAACCAACACTTGCGTCTTACAATACATTGATTGCTGGACACTGTAACCAAGGTCTTCTACGCTCGGCTATGAAACTTAAGAGCAACATGGGGAAGAATGGATGCCACCCAAATGTTGTTACATTTAACACTCTCATCCATGGATTCTGCAAGGAAGGGAAACTACTAGAAGCAAATAAGATTTTCAATGAGATGAAAGCTGTGAATGTGGTTCCTAATATTGTAACCTATAATACCTTAATAAATGGGTACAGTCAATTGGGAAACAGTGAGATGGGAGGAAGACTTTATGAGGAGATGTTAATGAATGGAATTAAGGTTGATATCTTAACTTACAATGCACTGATTTTGGGGCTTTGCAAAGAGGGTAAGACAAAGAAAGCCGCATATCTGGTGAAAAAGCTCTATAAGGAGAACTTACTCCCAAATGCCTCAACCTTTTCTTCTCTTATCAGTGGACAGTGTGTGAGACAAAACTCTGAGCGTGCATTCCAGCTTTACAAAATCATGAAAAAGAGTGGGTATCATCTGAATGCAGATATTTTTAGTATGTTGATATCAACTTTCTGCAAGAATGAGGATTTTGATGGAGCATTGCATCTCTTGAGGGAGATGATGGGGAGATCCATGGTTCCTGATTCGAGTCTTCTAGGTGAGCTTTATGCAGGGCTTTCGAGATGTGGAAAAGATGAAGTGGCCACTAGTTTGCACAATGAAATGGAAGCAAGACATCTTATGTAAAAAAACTTTTGGTAGAGACAAAATCATTATCAAGTAGCCAGGAGTTGATATCATAGAGAGAAATTTTTTAGGTTGTATATGCTTTTTATATATATTAGAAAGTTTAGTTCTTCAAGTTTGAATAACTTAACAACTTTATTAGTCACTTTCTACATTGACATCTATATCAATTTTTTGTCTGAAGCATATATTTGATCGTAAACTTTAATTTCTATATAGAACTGTTGATATAGGATATTTTAAATTAATTTATCAAGAAGGTAATTTGGAGGTTCAGGATCTTAATTCCACCGTAGTATTGATGCTTGGGATATTTACAAATTAAGGGTAGTAAAATTTGGGTTTTTTAGGATTCAAGGACGACAATATTAGGATGCCATTTAGATGCTGGTGTGATTCTATTGCTGGTCATTCCAGGTGAGGCATGTATCAAAATCTGTTGGTTTCATTCCTTTGGGGCGCTTCCAATTGAAATGGAATTTTAGAGCCAGTAAGTGTTATTTCTATGTTAACCTTTCCAAATAAAATTCCATTGCACCTTGTTCAGCCATCCCAAATGGGATAAATTCAAATGTACCTTTGCAGCCCATAAGGCTGTGTTTGTTGTATGCTTTCACAGAATTAATTTTGATGGATTTTGTGATTCTGAGAATCATTTTTAAGTTTGGATGTAGGAAAACCAATTCCATTTTTCAGCTCGAAATTATTCTAGGAAATGATAAAAAGATTAATTTTTGGCTCAAAGCTCATTATTCAAATAGTGATTCTTCGGAGCAGGATATTTTCTGAAAATAAATAAAAAAGGAAATTTATTTTTATTGAGTAGTAAAAAATAAAATTTACAAAAAGAAAAAGATTACAAAGACAGTGAAGCACAAGCGTCAAGCCCAGCAAAAGAGAAGCCCCTCAAGAGTCAAGACCGAACCAAACAATTACGAACTCCTTCAAAATTACTCCACCCAATGCAAAATAATCCCAACAATTAACACCCAAACGAAAATTGAAGATTCTCCCCCCTTCAAAACCAATCAACAAGAAAATCCAAAATCCACATCCAAAGCCCTTCTATAGGAGGGGGGGAATTATTTGGTGAAGCACAAGCGCAGCCTTGATTTGGACTATTTGGGAAGATAGAAATGGCAGAATTTTCCTAGAGAAGCTTGAAAGTGGTGTTGGAATGTATTATAATGAGGATTATTCATTGGGCGAAAACTTTGCATATTTTCCACCTTTCACCTTTCATGATAGTTGGGGGAATTGGAAGGCTGTAGCAAATAGTTCTTCAAGAAAAAGGAGGTCTATATCCTTTTGGTCTCTACCTGAAAGGGAGTTTGCTAAGCTTAATTTTAATGGTAGTAGTCAAGCAAAACCCAGGCCCTTCTGGAATAGGGGGCACATTTAGAGCTAAGGATTGTTGTGTGCTAGCTTTATTTTCTGGTCCAGCCGGGGAGGGTGATTCAATTAGATCTTTGCTGCTCTTCAAGGAATTCAGCACTTCAGCTAGCAAGGAAGATGAACATTAAGAATTTAATCATTGAAGGAGACTCTAAGTCGGTGACAGGTTGGTTGAAGAACCCAGAAACAGTAATTTGGGCTTACAGAGATGGTATGAAAATGTTTGAGTGGTTGACTAGCAATATGGCCTTTTAAAGTACAGTGGGAAAGCAGATCGGCCGATGGGTAAGCAGATGCAAGTAATCTTACTTAGCTTCTTGGTAGATTTCATCTCACACCTCTCAGTGGGTCTTTGTAATTATTCTCTCCATTAATATAATTTTTATTTTTTATCAAAAAAAAAAAAAAACCCTTATAGAGGGCCTACTTGCTCCTCAACTCCTAAAGAGCAAAACTTCACTCTGTTTTTTAGATTTCTTTATCTTCTTGGTAGGACTAGCCCCTAGCACACCCAACTTCATTCTACTGAACAATCTTGAAACTTGGACTGTTCAGAGTTGTTTCTATTTGAACCTTCTTAATGCTTAGACATCTGCTCACTTGCCCCTAAATCCTTGGTTTAGCAATGATTCCTTTTAATGCAAAGACCACATTTTTCTTAAAAGTTTGAGCTTCCACCCACAATTCATCTTCTTCTATGGCACCTTCAACATCAATGGAAATCCCCAACCCATCTTGCTCTTCCAATTTCTTCCATGTGAATTCCCCATGGTCCAAATTTGTCTTTCATTTTTTTCTTTACCGTGAAACTTATTACAAGAATTTCCTACTAACTGCTTGAATGCTTTTCTTGCAAATTCCTCCCCTCCAAGAAAAAATAGACCCAAAGATTTGCTAACTTCCATTTCTATATTCACCACTGTCTCCAAATTTATTGCACTCCCAATCTCATGAGTTTCATGCAGAATCACCTCACCAACATCTTCCTCAGATTCTTCCTACAGAAAAGTTCTGCAACTTCTTTTCCTTTTACAAGTTCTGTTTTTTTGATAAATTTCCTTTCATAAGTGCTTGTGGCAGGTAGCAATAAATTTCCTTCTTGTTGTCGATCAAAAATAAATAAATTTCCTTCTCTTGAGTCCTAACGTCGACTCCTTTCCTGCACCTTAGTGTCTGCCCATAAACCTCCTCCTTCTATTCTACCCCCGTCACCTCCACCTCTACCATTATCCTTTAAAACAGAGTTTTCAATCAAATCTTCCACATCAGTGTTCAACTTTTCAGTTACTTCTCCCCCACCATCATGTTCTATATACCTAGATTCTTCAGCAAACTTTTCCGTTCAGACCCCATCTCACCCCTTGATTCTCCATTGACTTTTATGTCTTCTCCTCTGGAATTTTCTTCTAGTGGCATTTCAACCAAACATAGCCTAAATTATTAACAAGTGTACAAAGAGTTTTTGCGTTTTTCTAGTCACTTTAATTCCTTTTGATTACCCCTAATAATTTAGAAGGACCCTGCCTTTGGTTGGCATAAATAATAAAAAATAACAATATATACTAATAATAAAATAATAGTATTATGATAAAATATTAATAATTAATAATTAGAAAGATTTTAATTATAAAATATAGTAACAATGAAGTATAAATAAAATATTAATACAATATAATTAAAGCAATCACAAAATAATAATAATAATAATAATAAACATTAATAATTAAATAGTAGAATATTATGAAAGTAATAATAAGATAACAGTAATAGAATAAGAGTGTATTAAAATTTAGAATAATAATAAAACATTCACTAAAAAGTACAAATTAAATATTAATATATTATAATTAAAGAAATGATAAAATAATAATGTATTATTTAAATATTAATGAATTAATAAGAAAAATATGAATAGAATATAATTAATTAATCAATTATTAATAAAATATAATAATAATAATCTATATATAACCTAACAATGAAAAGGGTGTATAGTCGTGAGGTCTCCGTGCAGGAAATGGGATCCCACATATGTTGTTTCTCTAGGTGAGGTCTATGTTGTTGCACATGCAATAATATTGGAGCGAAGGAAGGTGAAATTCATCATATGGATGGCCAATGAAATTTTAAAAATTTTCTTTCAGCCTTCCAGGAATTGCATTCCCAGTTTTAGAAAGACTACATTTTTCTAGGATCGATCTTGCACTGAAATCGAATCAAATTTGAAACCAAACAAGAGGAAGATGTATACCTGATACGGATTCCATAAATGTAACTCCCAAAGTGGTATTTCACACCCAAATCAAATCCCAAAACTAGCTTCCACTGAAAATGGTGCAGCTTGAAGTGAAGCCGGCTCAGCAACGCAATTTTCAACAAAACTGCAATCCAACACTTTGGATTGAACAAGGGAGGTAAGCATGGTTTTTCTCTGTATTTTTCTTGCAAAAATCAGAGATAAAACTGATCAAGATCATTCCCCAAAATCTGAGGTCGAACTAGGGTTTCTAGGGCAGCAAGAGTAGAGAGAAAGTTGAAAGTAGAGTGATCTGAAGTAGTTCGATCTCTCTTTTTCTTAATCCTTAAGCAGTATCACTCCTAATCAAATTAGGAGGTTTGGTCCAAATCTTTATTTGGATCTAGACTCTATCAATATATAGATTTTATCCTCTTATGAGAATGAGTGCTACAAACCCATATTCGCCCATGTCACATGACTGCCAGTCATGTTACATATTGATTAATCATATAAATCATGGGCCTTAGAGACATTAAGTAAGTGGCTCACATTATAAGAGAGATGCTGGCCCACTTAGGTTTGATTTGTATGGCATGGGACCCCAACAATGATCTCTATGAAAAGGCCAGGGTGAATTCACTATCAAATGTAGTGGACCCCCGAGTCCATCACTATGGGCTGAAAATGGGCCCAACATTTACAGTTAAATGATCCCTGAGTCCAACCATCCTATGAAGGCCCATGGATAATGGACTTAAGTAAGATATAGCCCATCAGGTAATCAGCCATTAATGGTATCTTACACCTAACCTCTCAACCCACAATGATCAAACACTGCCCGAGAGGGAATGACCTCTCCCTTGACTGCAAGGTGTAGTGTCACACTCTCTACTCGGATGGGTCCCGAGAATTAAAACCTGTTTGCAAACATTTTTCATATATATATATATATATGAACCCCCGAGAATTAAATATATTTTGCAAAACAAATCTCAAACACGGTTGAAATCCACTGTCGGCAAATTTGATTTCCATCAAAGAGAGTGTAGTCCCTATTATTCACTATGTCCGACAAAGGGGCCGATCCTATCACTATGATCACCCACTCAAGTGAATTCTCAGACTGTCCCAACATACCCAGGTTTTGACCCCCAAAGGATCTCAATGTTTGGCATATAAAAAGACAGATCGATCCAACACCCAATGCAGTACCATAATTAGAGGTGTAAAATGAGCACGGCACGGCCCATGGGCGGCTCACCCTAAAGGCAGGCCGTGCCATGCTGGCCTACGGGCCACCACGGGCCGTGCCGTCCACCCTGGTGGAAATTTTGGGGTCGGCTAGGCCTGGGCCGGGCCGGGCTGCACTATTTTTTTTATTTTTTATTTTTTATTTTTTGAAAATGTTGATTTCTTTTCTAAGTAAAATTGTAAAACTAAAATATTTAACTTTCCTATGAACTTTTGGAATTAGGAACTAT